GAATTATTCAATATATTTACAATAAATTAGAGATGAATAAATTAGAAACAGAGGAAATTGATTTCAATAGATGTTCATATAGTCAATGTTATGTTTTCGTTGTTCGCTTCGGTAGTTTTACCGAGCAAAGTAATGCATGATCGCTGCTTTGGATTATATTTATTCAAGGATCGCGAAATAAAAATTTGAAGATGCATTTCTACAATAAATTAGACTCGAAAATGCGTAATGCGTGATCGATGCTTTAGATCATGTTTGGTCAAGTAAAAATGCTATTTAAATATGAACGCTATGATCATAACCACGAGAGCGATTTTTCATCCGACTAAAAACTATCGACTAATTAGTCGATAGTATGTTGCGATTATTCCCTAGGTAGTCGATACTTTAAATTATCGATAGTGCCCATCACTACAATTTTATTTAATATATTTTGCTAACGGACATGAGGGAGAGTAAGGAATATTATAATGACACAAAAAACCATGCAAAGTTTATTGAATTGCATCAAATTTTATTATAGTACAAGAAATATAATTACACTGTTCATTAAGTGTATACATAAGTTGTACTTATATAACTAAATATCAATGTGCTTATTGATCAAATTAGGGATCAACCTTTTTATCTTAAATGAAACGAAACGCTCTTTTGTAAAAATAACATATTTACTGTATATATAAGCGAAAGAAAAATAAATATTGGTAGAAAAAATAAAATTCCTGAAATAATACTTTTTTACGAGACAGATGACATATATCTTTAAAGCTATGTGTATTACTATTTTATATAAAGACGTTAGAATCTTCAGACATTAGAATAGACCTTTTAAATGCCAATTGTAATATCACAGCTTCATATTGCTTCAGATACTTCCATCTGATCTGCTGCTTCTTGTTCCTGAACATTCTTATCATCACTCTGGGTCATATTTTCTTCCTGAACATTCTTATCATCCTGCATCATATTTTCTTCCTGAACATTCTTATCATCATTCTGAGTCATATTTTCGTCCTGAACATTCTTATCATCATCTTGCGTCATATTTACTTCCTGAATATTCTTATGATCATCTTGCGTCATATTTACCTCCTGAACATTCTTATCCTCGTCCTGGGTCTTATTTTCACTCTCTGAAGGCTCTTCTGATTTATTTGTATTTTCTGCCTCGGCGTTACATACAGCAGACTGAGCTGCCTGTGCTTGCGGCGAAGTATCAGACTTCAGAATTTCACGCAATGCCATAGTCGCGTATGTAGAAGATTTTAGAGACATTTCGAGAATTAAAGCTTTATATTGGCCCTCTAAAAAATTCGATAATTTCGCGTGTTTGTATATTCTTAGTTACATGAATGCTATTACATGAAAAATAAAATGTTATTCAAAAATTGTACCTGGATCATCTTTGGGAGCCACGTATTGTCTCATTTCACTGATATCGGACATAAGAAGATCGTTATATTTTTCCTTGTAATGCATTATTCTCCAGGATACACTCGAAGGGATTTGCAATATTTTCCTATAAGCGCCTCCTAAACTATATTTTCTGAAATAAAATAAACGCGTAAAATATAAAAGTACTATTAAGAAGGGACATATCTGAAATTCATTTTGAATTTCTTACTTATTTTTCTGCCTGAGATCGGTAGTCAGTCCATCTTTTGCTAAAAATTCATCGAGCCACGGTTTTGCATAAGGTGGATATGTGACTTTCCAACCAACCTGAGGCATTATTACATCTGCCAAAGTATAGTGCGGCAAATCCTCTTCTGTAAGTACTTTAACTGGAGGAAGGTTACGTAGATCTTCATTCTGGTCTTTGTCATTAGTTGTTTTATTTTCTTCTTTGGCTTCATCGATTTTAAGGCAACACTCTGTGGCGTCTGTTACTTCTTTAATCAAAGTATTGGATTCCGTGGATGTATCAGGTATCTGCGCATTTATACCTTCTTCCTTTTCAGGTCTATTCTCCATTTCGTTAGTTCCTGGATTATTCTCAGCAACAGGTTCATCTTCATTATCGCAAACGAACTCCTCTTCGTTATCATCACACTTTATACTGTTTGCATACACTAAATCTCCCACTATAGGTTTCCTTCCAAATTCTTTTATCCTCTTTGACACCATGTGATTCCAAACGAAGCTTTGATAAGCGTGGATATACATTAATCGAGCATTCCGCGGGATTGAATCGAGAGCACCCTGAGGATTATTGTTACCGGACTCACAGAGTCCTTTTAAAAGTGTAGCTTCTATTTTATCACATCTTTTAATTCTTCTGTAAGCAGCACCAGCATCTTTGGTGGTTTCATATATTTTTCGAGCTTCTACAAGATCCTGGTCTTGCTCTCCCTCTCTAGGTTTTAAAATCAATTCAATTGCCTCATTCCATTTGCCTAATAAGTAATAATTTATTACATATTTTGTGTAATGCAAAACCTTGATGGGAATTAAATACCAACACTCACCTTGAAGCAATGCTTTGCCTATGTCATAAGTTGGAATAGCACGTACAGTGCCAAACCTTTGCAAACCGTAATAATTTATAAATCCGTGATCTCTCAGTGATATCATTGTCTTTTCAATTTGTTCATCAGTTCCACTGACATTTCTTAGAGCGATTTTAAAGTGATTACCACTGAGCATGCCTAACTTCAAAGGTTCATTATCGAATTTGAAATTCCCCACGTATGCTCCGCGAATATTTTTCGCTGCTCTTAATATATCTGCAGGCTCTACCTTCCTCAAACTAACCCACTGAGCGGTCCAAGCCCGACGATCTTTAGTCCCAGCATAATTGAAATTATTTGGTCTCAAACGTAAATTCATAGCTAGTTGATTCAAAGCGTCCATTGTATCCATATTCACTTTATGTAATATGAAGTAACAATATTCCCCTCTTTTTTTCCAATCAGCTCTAGTATCCATTCGAAAATTGAAATCTGGAGACAGTAAATAATTAGTACAAGCAATGAACTAATGAATTTCTACTGAAATGTGTATACGTACTAGTATTTCTAGTTCCTTTATTTGGGAAAAGCATCAATATCTTCTTTTTGTCTTTGTCTATAGTTTGGCTACCAACATTTGTCATCCTTTTAGCAATTGTGTGGATCGCTTTACGTTGAGTTTTATCCATGTCTGTTACATCAATTTCTATACTTGATGCGTTTGGTTCTTTCAAGCTCTGTAACTGTTCCCTAACAACATCTGATACCATCTTTTTCAGATCTTCTTCACTTTCATTTTCAATCTCATCTGTTGGAATGTCTTGGTTTGTCAACTTGGCTATCTCCCCATCAAGTGCTATTTCATTGACATGAAAATCTGTGTATCGTTCTTTGATCACGCCGAAAAATCCTTCGTCTCCTATAAATTCGGTAATACCGACATCGCACTCTCTAAGCCGATTTCCAACTTCCAACTTCTTCCTCTTCCCATCTTGTTGGGTATTCGACCAGTTACGTTTATAAGGCTTTTTGCCAAAATTATCGTTCCGGTATCCTTTAAAAAAATTAAAAAATTATAGGATCAACCAATTCCTTAACATATATCATAACATGCTTGCTTCAAGGTCTTACCAGTATTATACGAATTCCTATTTCTTCTGAAATCATTATTTGAACGATAATCTTTTCTGTAATCTTTTTGATATTTGTTACGTGGATGCTCTCCTTTAACTTCTCGGCTTTTAGAACTGCTGTCAGGGTTAGTATTTGTATTCTGCATTTCAGACATTATCTTGTCTATCGATGTATGAGACCTTCACAGATTTTATCTGCAGAACTTCAACAGCAAATTAAGTCAGTTCTTCAAACCGGCCGACAATGTTTATTACTAAATTATTATTTCCAAGGTTATGGTTTTAATAACAGCACGTGTTTGAGCCACGATTTTATCTGACGATGTGAAGTTATCCCGTTTAAACCAACAGCATACGAGTAATCGATACCAGCGATACGAGCAACTTATCTGTAATCGTGTACTGTATATGTGACTATAATTACAATATTTGTAGTTGTCATAAAGAAATTAACGCGAGACTGCTGTCTAAAAACGAAAATTGCTTTTAAGGGAACTCTTATTTTTCTCATTATAAAATGATTTTTAGAAGAGTGTTAACTCCTAACGTCTTCCACAAGGTTAGACAGCTAGGTGAGTGAAATGAAAGGTATTTAAATGCCATAGATTTACATAATCTTCCTTGACTATTTTAAATAACATTGAAGTAACCTTACGAATCTCTGATAAGAATTCAATGAATTCTTATAATGCATAAGACATCATCTATTTCTAATGTGACAATAAAAATAAAATAATATTATTTTCACTTTCTCAATACGAAAAGTTATTAATATATATACGAATTTTGTTTAATTAAAAAATTATATTTATGTTCACAGAATCAATTTCTAACAATAATCTTTTTGCCAACACCTGTAGACTTCCCCAATTTGGAAGAACGTCTACTACCCTCTCTAATACCAAACAATGTTTAAATTATAGCACTGTCAATAATGGAAGTAACTACTTGGTAAAATTTTGTAATATTATTATTCTTACATTCAATCATTTATTTTGTATTATACATTTTAGATTAGTGTATTCATGTATTTTTTAGGTTCCGAAAACTACGATTGTAAGCACACAAATAAATCGAAAACTAGCTACAGTTACAGGTGATCATGTACGTTTATGGGTCTTTGAAAGACTTGTTTCGGCAGGACTCCCAATTACAATACCTGCTGCTCTGTGGACAGAAAGTCCAATTCTCGATGGTTTAATGTCTTTGTTGGTCGTAATGCATACGCATTGGTAAATATCTGTATCATAAGATGATGATGGTTATTATTATTGTCACGAACATATTTTATTTCAATTTATCTGATAAATAGGGGACTGGAAGCTATTATTATAGACTATGCACGCCCTAGCATTGTTGGACCTGTTCTACCAAAAATCTTGCATTTGTCTTTGTTCATCCTGTCAGCTGCAACACTAACTGGACTGTTTTTACTTATTAATAATGGTCCAGGTGTCTCGAAAAGTATCAAAGACTTTTGGGCAATTGGCAAAAAACCTTCTGAACAATCGTCTGTGAAAGAAAACGCCAAATAATATAAATGATGATGTCATAATAGATGTTTAATATCTTAGAACTTTTGTAATTCGCTTATAAATCCTACAGGAATAAATTATTCATCTTCAACTAATAAATTACATGCAATTTTCACTGCCCTAAATGAAAAATAAAATCCAGTAGGACGAAATATTTATTTATTCAAATTATACAAAAAAATAATGCTTATATATTAATCGTTTCTTCCATAGTCTTCAAGACTACATATACAAATATATCTACGTTTAAAACAATTACCAGAAAACAATCGTTTGAATACGAAGACTATTTCAACAATATTATTCCATTTTGGCAGTCTTATCGATAAAAGATGCTAGCTTGACATCTCTTTGTGACAAACCATTTACATCGTGAGAAGATAAAGTAATGTTCACTTTATTGTAAACATTGAACCATTCAGGGTGATGATCCATTTTTTCTGCTTGCATTGCAACTCTAGTCATAAAGCCAAATGCCTATTAACATGAAATACAGTATTTTTCATATGATTAAAACAAATAAATAATAAAAATTTGGACAGAGGCCTACCTGATTGAAGTTTTTGAATAAAAATTCCTTGTAAATAGCATCTCTATTTTGTTGCACAGACCAACCACTGGACAACAAGGGTTTCAAATCTTGTTCTCGTTCTTCTTGAGTAAGTTTTCCCTGAAATGTAAAATGTTCTTTCGTAAAATTTTTA